CATGACTTGCACTAGTTCAAATCAATAGTAGTAATAGGCCTGAAAATCTCCATGAATAATAGGCATCAACCTTTGTTCATACTGGGACTGGATAGGACTTGAATCCTAAATTAATTCAGTAACATTAAACCTATTTTTTGCACTCTCTATCTGTAAATGACAGATTTGTCTATTAATTAGGTGGGGTTTTTGTTGTTGTTTTTTTGGTACCGAGGATTGAACTTGGGTCCTTGTGCTTGCGAGGCAGGTGGCGGAACCACTGAGCTAAATCCCTGGGCCCTAATTAGGTGGTTTTTTAAAAACATTCTTCAATCTCTTCTGATGTAATCACAATCAATACCTGTATGCCCCTTAAAGATGAACAGTCCTGTAATTCTGAACTAGTGAATTAGTGTCTTAGTTACTTTTTTTCTCATTACTAAGACAAAATACCTGATACCCAAAGTTAAAGGGGAAAAGGTTTATTTAGCTCACAGTTTGGAGAGGTTTCAGTCTATAATTGGCTAGCTCCAAGGCAGGTTGGCACATGGCAGAGGGGCAACAGTTCATGGCTGTGGAAGACAGCAAAAGCAACAAGAGGACCTTAACAGCGTCTTCCTGCCTTTTATCTTTTTCAGACTACTTACGGCAGGGTGAATAGCACTCACACCCTTAACCTTAGTTAAGACCTAGCCTGCCTAGCACTGCCTCATGAACTGATCACACACTTTAGATTCATCTACCTCTGAAATAGCCCCACTTCATTCATATGAGGCTTTGGGAGACACCTAAACACAAGCCATAACAGATGGTATCTTGGAACTAGTTTATAGGTAGTTGCTTCTGGACTACACAAGTAAGTACCTCTGATACCTTTGTAGTGACTTTTTGTTCCATCATTAAATTATTCCAATTCCAAAATTTTCTCCATTTTCATTCTAATTGAGCTCCCATTGCTTATAAAAATCTTGCATGATGTGATTCCATCCACTTTTCATTTGTATTCTCTGTTTTTGTGATTGTCCCAAAGCTCTAATGTGTAGCATTCAAAGTCTCAAAATCAAAAGAGTTAGGTATACCTGTGCCTGTTCCTATTCCTGCTAGGATTGCATTGTGATGCTTTCTTTTGCCCTTGTGTAGCATCAAACAGACCCCTTAACAAACAAATTCCAAATTGGGAAGATTCAAGAGATATGTATCTATTTATGAAGACTGATATTAGCCTCATATTTTAAGAGAAATCACCCACCAATAATCCTGAAGGCTATTAAAATAGGTTCATGGTATTGCCATATTCTAAACCAGTGATCACGAACCTTTTAGAACTTTCAGTGATACAAAAAATCTATTATGGCACATGTGCCATAGGTTTGCCCCACTGTGGAGGAATCAATCTTTGTCTGTCTGTCTGTCTGTCTGTCTCTCTCTCTCTGTCTCTCTCTCTCTGTCTCTCTCATTTCCACTAGTTTTTTTTTTTTCTGTACCAGGGATCAAACTCACGACCTTGTGCTTGCCAGGCAGGCCCGTCGTCACTGAGCTAAATCCCTGGCCCATCCACTAGTTTGTATGTAATTTATCATTACTATCTTTACACAGTAGTTGTCAGTAGTTTTTTTGTTTTTGTTTTTGGTACCAGGGATTGAACTCAGGACCTTGCACTTGCAAGGCAGGCATGGTGCCACTGAGCTAAATCCCTGGCCTGAGTTGTCAGTAGTTTTATTAAAGCAAAACACTACCATAGTAAAGGTGAGAGGACAAATTGCTAGTAGGCTTTGTCCTATAGTTACATATTTTGATTGTATTATAGTTAACAGATTCCTATATTCTCTAAGGATCATTCTAACCAAACCAATTAACAAAACATTTTTGTATGAAATTTAGGGCTCGACTTAACTGGATGCATATTATTTATTTCAGTATTTTAAAAATATTACCAACAAAGGTGGTTGTACCATTACTATGCTGATAATTGGATTGGTGGACTTAAAAGCTCAGATTATTCTATGAATACAGTATAACATGGAATTCATAGAGTGTTTTAGTCATTTTTCTTGTCACTTGCACAAAATACCCAATACTTGCAACTAAAAGGAGGAGAGGTTTATTTTTTTTTCTTTTTAAAAATTTTATTGAAGAATCCTGAAAGTAGATTTGGAGTACATTTCTTTTTTTTTTAACTTTTATTAGTACATGTTTGTAGTACTTAATGATTACATTTGCTGTAGGAAATTGATACATGTATATAACACATTTCAATTTTATTTTTCCCCCTTCACTCCCCTTTTATTTTTCCAGCATCAGATTAATTTATTTATCTTAAAAGTGGTTTATTTTGGCTCACATGTCAGTCCATAGTCAGCTGGCTCCAAGGCAGGACAGCATGGCAGAGGGGCATGGCAGACAGGAAGTGGAGAATCAGGGGAGGAGCTGGGAAGGGAGATATACTCTTCTGGTTATAGCCACAGTAACCCACCGCTTTTGACCAGACCCTCCCTCCTAAAAGCAAGTCAGCTATACTGTCCCCATAATCCAATCACTTTTTCAAAGCCCTGACTATGAAGCCATGAGGCTTTGGCAGGACATCTAGATATGAACCATCATGTTGGGAACATGTAATTTTGGAGGCCATGATTGAGAGAATGAGAGAGAAAAATTACCCAAAAATAATAAATAACAGATTTGTTTTCTGGTAAATTGTGATTCTTAAGAAATTGAAATCACCCTACTATGAACAGGACAGCAAGGCAGCCTATGAGAATAGTAATAAGTTTGCCAACATACCCTTTCCAGTTGAGTCCCAGTATCAGTATCAGTTACACTAGAAAATTCTAGGTTCAAGTCTTTGTGAGAATGGTAGTCCAGGCATCCTCAGGTGCTGGCCTCACAGGAAAGCATGAATCCAACTGCATTTTTCTCTTACTTTGATAGAATGAGTGAACAGCAACACTTGGAGAGGTCCCTCCCAGCTGGATGACATCCTATCCTTCACTGGGCACACATGCATATAGATAAAGACTCCTGGTTAATAGAGGTGGCAGACTTCTTCCAGCAGGTCCTTCCAGATCCTTGACTTTCATATCTCAGGGTTTCTAGGGAAGACAAAAACCCTTTTAAATAACTATGACTATGATCATGAGAGGATTTAAGTACAAGTAAATTGGATTTTAGTCCCAAATCATAGGTCTACCAAACATTTCAACGGTAGTGACAGTATGCTTGCTAGGAAGTGTTGCTTAATTTTAACAAGGCTAATGGTGAATTTGTAGATCATTTTAACTCATAAGATCACTGAATCTTGGCCAGTGAGGCTTTTTAGAGTTTGATTCATTCATTCTACTTGTCCACAGGACTGAGGGTAATAGGGCATATGATAGTTTGTAGAATTATGCATGTTTGCCTAATTCTTGACCAAAAGTGAAAATAAACTACCTCTATATGATTCAGTCTTCTCTGATATACCAAAAATGGAAATTATATTTATGAGGAAAACTTTTACCACTTCCTGAGCATCAGTAAATAAGGGGAGCTTCAGGCCATTCTAATGTATGCACCATAAAAAACCCTTATCTTCTTCAGGCATTGATTCTGTGAAATCCAGCTACCACAAGGTTCCTGGTACAGTTGGTTTTCTCTAACCAACTTTGGAGGTGGTATAAAGATTTTTGCTGACAAATAGCAAATCATCATCATCATCATCATCATCATCTTCTTCTTCTTCTTCTTCTTCTTCTTCTCCTCCTCCTCCTCCTCCTCCTCCTCCTCCTCCTTGTCTTTCTTCTTCTCTTTCTTCTTTTTTTTTTTTGAGGCAGGGTCTCCCTTTGTAGTTCAGGCTGGCCCTGAACTCACTATGTAGCCCAGGCTGGCCTCAAACTCTAAGCGGTCCCCCTTCCTCAGCCTCCTGAGTGCTGAGATTACAAGCATGTGCCACCACTCCCTGCTATGTTTGTTAATTTTTATATGTTTTGAAGTATGGTTCAAGGTTTGTTTTTTCCCCAATATTTATATCCATTTCTTCCACCATAATTTGTTGAAAAGACTTTCCTTTCCCCCATAAAATCTCAGTGGCACCTTTGTCAAAACACAGTTGTCCATACAGATGTGGGTCTGTTTCTGGACTCTGTTCTCTTTCAATTATATATGTCCATCCTTACACAAGAATCATATTGTCAGAATTACTGTAGCTTTATAGTAAGTCTTAACATTGGGTGATATAAATCTTCCATACTTTTTCTTGCTTTGGCTATTGTAGGTTCTTTACATAGTCATACAAACTTTAACATCTCCTTGTCAATTTTTACCAAAATAGAAAAATTATTGATTGAACAAGCAGAAAACAAATCAGTAAGATGATAGAGAATTTGAACAACATTCAACCAACTTTATTTATATATTATAGAACCCTATAGCCATTGAAGTTAAATATACATTTTTTGGAGACAGGGTCTTGCTATGAACTCACCATATAGTCCAGGCTGGCCTCGAACTCATGGCGATCCTCTTGCCTCAGCCTCCCAAGTGCTGGTACTACAGACATGTGCTACTATGCCCAACCTATACATTCTTTTTTTAGGGAAGCATGGAACAGTCTCCTAAATAGAGTGTATGTTGAAATCATACAGAGTATATTTTCTGGCCAAAATAGAATTACATTGGAAATGTATGATAAAAAGATACCAAGATAAAATGGTCATATTTTTGAAGCATAAATAAAAGCAACAGTAGTAGGAGCTATGTCAAGTTAAAAAAATGGAGGTGGGTGATATACAGGCTTCCTTTAAAAGTTGTAGAATACAAATTTCCCATAAAACTGTGTAACAAAATAGACGCAAGGTCAAATCCTTTAAAATTATTTTTAAAATTAAAGATTGACTAAATTTCATACATAATGAGTATCAGAAATTTATGATTAGATGTTTGCCTTCTATACTATAATACATATATGTGCTTAATAGCTATATCATATAATATATCATGATGAAAAATAATTAAAGACAACTTCCTATCTTCTCCCCATCCCCTAGTGCTGACCGTGCTGCCTTGAACAGAACTGTGTTGTTACAGGTACTAGTGTCTTTTGAGGACGTGACTGTGGACTTCAGTAGGGAGGAGTGGCAGCAACTGGACTCTACTCAAAGATGCCTGTACCATGATGTAATGCTGGAGAACTACAGCCACCTGCTCTCACTGGGTAAGCACAGCCATCCCATTAAGCAATGAGCTTGTTGTGTTTAAATTATGTCCTGCAAATAAAATACACCGAAGCCCTAACTCTCACTACCACAGAATGTTACCACAGAATGTGACCTTATTTGGAAATAGAGTTTAGAAGTAATCAAGCTACACTGAGGCCATTAGGGTGGGTCATAAGCCAGTACAGCTGATGTCCTTATAAAAGGGGAAATCTGGACACAGAAACACACACAGAGGGAGGGCAATGTGAAGACACCCAGGAAGCAGGGATTTCAATGAGCCATCCAGAAGCCAAGAAACAGCTGAAGCCCCCAGAAGATTTGAAGGAGGCATAGAGCAGTTCCTTCCCTAACACCTTCAAAGAGAGCACAGTCATCCTAATGCCTTGATTTGGGGCTTCTGGTATTCACATTGTGAGATGATAAATTTCAGTTGTTTTGATTTGGTGTTTGTTTTTTTTTTTGGTACCAGGGATCAAACTCGGGACCTTGCACTTGCAAGGCAGGTGGCGGCACCACTGAGATTCCTGGTACCAAAAAAGAAAAATTTATTAGTACATGTGTACGGTACATACAGTTTACAATCATCTTGGGGAATGAGTACATGTATATAATACATCTTGTTTCTTTTTTTAATCCCTTTCCCCTTCCCTTCCCCTCCCCACTCCTCCTTTGGTTTCCCATCCCTCTTTTCACACTCATTGATGTTGTCTTAGCTCATGTTATGGCATATGGTGTTTGCTAGAGTCCTGTACTAGAGTTACTAGTCAACAATTCGGGTTACTAGAGTCCTGTACATGGCACATCTTTATTCCTCTTATTTCCCCTCACTTCCTCCTCACCCCTTGTCCTTGTTCCTTTGGACCACTTCTGCATTGCAAGAGATCTGTCCCCTTGTCCCTTTCTATCCATCCTTTATTGTTTTCTTTGTTTGTACTTTGCCTCACTCAAATGAGAGATGATACTATATAGTATTTTGCTTGTGTGTCTATTTCACTCAACATATTTTCCAGGTGCATCCATTTTCCTACAAATGTCTCAAATTTGTCATTCTTTATAGCTGAGTAGTATTCCATTATATAGAGATATCACATTTTCTTTATCCAGTCTTTTGTTGATGGGTATACAGGCTGCTTCCAGGATTTAAATATTACAAATTGTGCTGCTATAAACATTGATATCCATATATTGCTATAGTATGATGTCTTAAGCTCTTTGGGGAAGATACCTAGTAGGGAGATGGCTGGGTCATATGGAATTTCTAATTTCAATTCTTTGAGAAATCTCCATCCACACTGATTTCCATAATGGTTGTAGTAGTTTACATTCCCACCAGCAATGGAGGAGGGTTCCTTTTTCACCACAGCCACATCAACATTTGTTATTGTTTGACTTCTTAGTGATTGCCATTCTTTCCATAGTAAGATGGACTCTTAGCATTGCTTTAATTTGCATTTCCCTAATGGCCAGAAATGTTGAACATTTTTTCATATGTTTGTTGACCATTTGTATTTCTTCCTCTGTGAAGTGTCTGTTCATTTCTCTTACCCATTTCTTGACTGGGTCTTTAATTTTATGTGGTTTAATTTTTTTGAGTTCTTTATATATTCTAGATATTAGTCCTCTATTTGAGGAGTAGTTGGCAAAAAAACTTTTTCCCATTCTGTAGGTTGTCTCTTCACTCTACTGATTGATTATTTTGCTGTACAGAAGCTTTTTAGTCTGATATATTCTCATTTGTTGATTCTTACTGTTATTTCTTGTGAAACCCTAGATTTTTTTAAAGACTAGATTTCCTTGAAGAGACTATTGGCAGAAATATGAATGTTAAAGATGCTTTAGGTTAGGCCTCAGATCGAAGTGGGGAACATGTTAAGGCAAACTGGAGGAAAGACAATCCTTGTTCTAAGGTGGCAGAGATCTTGGCAGATTTATATTCTCTTGGATGAAAAGGGAACTTGTGAGTGATGAACTTTAGTATTTAAATGAAATTTCTAAAGAAAGTATTGAAAGCATAGCCTTGTTTCTCCTTGATGCTTATAGTAAAATGTGAGAGGAAAAAGATAAAGAAGGAATTTTTAGGAAAAAAATACCAGAACTTGAAAAATTATTAACCTGGCCACATTGCAAAATTTGAGAAAATATACCTGGAAAGAACACCAAAGGTATGTCTGAAAAACCAATTGCTAAAGAGCGTGACTTGTGGGTTCAGTCAACCATGTCCATAAAAATTCTGCCTTCTTAAGGAAACAGCCTAGATACACACCAACAGACAAATGGATAAAGAAAATGTGGAATGTATGCACAATAGAATATAGTTCAGCCATAAAGAAGAATAAAATCAAGTCATTTTCAGGAAAATGAATGGAAGTAGAGACTATCATGTTAGGTGAAATAAACCAGACTCAGAAAATTAATTCATTCATGGTTTTCCTTATATGAAAAACCTAATGAGTAAGTAAATAAAATGAAGTAGAGATAACAGAAAACTAGGAGGTAGACTTTTGGAGATAGGGAAGGGGATGAGAGGGAGGAGAAGGAAAGAGAATGGGATAGAACAGATAAAGATATGTTAAATGCATGTGCCAGTTTACCAAAACCAACCTCACCATTCTGTATTACCAACATTCACTAATAAATACATAAATGAACAAATAAATAAAAGAAATTCTGCTGCTTGAGCTAAAGGGGACAAAGATGGGAGAAAATCAAGGAAAGCTGTTAGACTTCTGTGATTCTTCAGGCAGGAAATGGGGTGGTAAAGCTATTTGAATGTCAACATGTGTTATCATTTGCAAAAAGGGAGTAATAAATTCACGAATGGTTCAAAAGCCATCAGGACTCCAACTGCCATGACAGACCCTGAATGCACAGGCTGTGGAGATGGAGGGCACCATCTCCTTGGCTTCAGAGGGTAGGGCCATCTCCTTGTTTCCAGGGCTGAGAGAGCAGGGCCACTACCCATGGTCAGGGTTGTAGGGTTACCATATCCGATCTGAGGTCACACGCCTCTTAACAATTTCACATGCTCTTGAACTCTGCAAAATTATCTCCAATTTTCCCTTGTGGTACTTGGGGAATATTGATTTCTGTGCTAGGTTTTAGCCTTCAATGGAGTTTACCACGAACTTTGGACTACATTCTTAGGCCAGTAATGAGTTCAGTAATACCCAAGCCTAGTGCTCCAGGAGCTGCTACTGTACTCACGCTGTCCATGGACTGGGCCTCATTCAGAAGGACTTAGGTCCCCTGCGAGCAACACTGGGGAATGGTTCTTCTATATACCACATTTCTAACATGCCACTCTGGGGCAGGGATTCAACATTGGGCTTTTCTATGTTCATTTCCCATTACTGATGGAATCCTTGTTAAATTTCTTCACTAACTAATGTGCTTAAATTCAACTGGTGAGTAAATTCAGGCCCAAAGCAAGCCAAAAAGTGTTTCTCAAAACAACATTAGTTAGCCAGCATGGTGGCACATTCCTATAATTCCAGCACTCTGGAAGGCTGAGGCAAGAGGATTACAAGTTCAAGCCCAGCCTGGGCAAGCCCCTGTCTCAAAAGAGTGATAAAAAGCACTGAGAATGTACCTCATTGTGAAGACCCTGGCTACATCCCCAGTACTGTCCATTAAAAAAAAGTTGTTATTGGAAGTAGTAGGAAAACCATTCAGATGGCCAGCGAGACTCTTGGGAACAACACATTATTTCACCTTCAAACCGTCTTAGACTAAAAAACTTTCTACCATGCTGCGAAAGTTTGGAGATGGACAATTTTTCCTTCCCTCTCATTTGAAAGGAATTGAAGAAGAAATAAAATGGCAGAGGTTTAAGGTTAATATTCAGGATGAATGATGATAATTTAGGTGATAAGACAGAAGATGAATTACATTCCTTTTTTGTCAGTGATAAAAATGGAAACACATATGCATACAACCAAATATCACCATCTACACAAAATTCCTCAACTAGTCATGTGAATTAGAGTTCTGGTAACCCAGATGACATGGTAATTGATTATGAAATGGACCCTGCTGTAGACAGTGATGAAAGTATTTCTTTAAGCCCTCAGTGTGTTGAAGTACTGGATCACCAAAAGTCTTCAAGTGCTTTCATTAGTCAGCAGATGTTAGACATGCATAAAGATCCCACATGTCAGTCTTCTGCACTTGTAAATACAGAGGAGCCTGAGTATCTGCAAAGTAATTGTCATTCCTTCGAAGCAGTTCAGGACCAGAATATTGAGCCATCTCTGACTTTTGTGTGGAAGTCTGACAATGATCTAAACTGTATAGACTGTCCTGCCGCCTCAGAGTTAAACCAAACATTTTTTCCCCATTAAGTTTATTGGTACATTTTCAGTGTAAAATACAGTTACATACATCATTGGGATCTTGTACCATTATATGAATATCTTGGTTCTTATTTTTTTCCCCTTCCCTTGCCCTCCCTTC